CTAATTACTGTATTATTTTCTACACAACTGTAAACCTACATTTGCCCATCCCTGTGTGTGTATGTATATGAATATGTAGGTCAAATATATATATACAAAAGTTGTATACATAAAATCAGATTGAAGAACACTGAGAAAACTTAGGATCCCCAAATGTGACAAAAAGTGGAGATATGGGTCCTGTCATAATTTAGTAGCAATGTAACAGGCATGTCCTTTTTGGTAAACACTTTGCTAACACTTTCTAAAGCTAAAGTAATTATATAATAATAAAATAGCAATAATACATACACCTCCTTTAACTGAATTATTTCACTACTCAAAGTTTATCCTACAGAAATGATATACAAATCCTCATTGCAACAAAGTAATACAGAAAAACTGGACCAAGTCTAAACATCTACCAATGGCAGGTTAGTTAAACATAACCAAACATAATTATGCAAAATGTGGTAGGTATATGTATGCAGATGTGGACAACTAAGAAGCACAATATCAAATTGCAAAATTTTTTAAATTTGAAAAAGAAAAGGATTAAACTGGGTTAGGGCAACTTAATCTGAGCTCTTCTATTTATACTTCGAGGAAACCAAACCTGCACACAAAACTGTGTTTATGTATGTAAGTGTAGAGTCTACAGCTTTTACCAAATCGTAAATAAGTATGTGACATTCCCCAAAAAAGGTGACTGAAAAACCACTAAAAAGCCCCCCACCACACCCACTCCGAATATCTGAGAAACACAGTTAAATTATACTCAAGTGAGGAAGTCTGTGGGAGGAAATGCTTTCAATTAAACTTTGAAGGAAAATTAAATGTCACTATCACAAAGTACACTTTTTATTTCAAGACTCTTACATCTAAGGGTGTGAAGGAAGTTATTCTTCAGATGAACTCATAGTCACTATGTAATTACAAACCTCAACCAAAAATTACAGAGCAAAAACAAGTCTTCAAAATGTGTGACTAGTTCATACTGAAGTTACAGTTAAAGTGAGACCATACAGAAGCAGAAAGAGGCAAAGACTAAGTAGTAGTTCCATTTGACAGAGTCAAATAGCTATTATGGACTGTAGTTAGTACCCATACATGTAATAAAAGTTCAGGAGGCATGCATGCAGTCTTAACTGATTTTTTAAAGACAAGTAGATTAAAATTAGACAGAAATAAGTTAGGTTATATACATAGTTTTGTGAACTTTTATAAGCAAAAACAAAATAAATCTTTTTCTGAAGGCAGATGGGGGTGGTGCAATACTTCTGGTACTAATCTATTATAAATTACTATTTTAAACATTACAGCCATTAGAATCAATGGGATTTTTAGAAGACTGGAATAAATAAGTAGTAATCACAGGGATACTCTCTATCTTAAGAAGAAAGTAATTTTGCCCCTTAAGGAACATCTGGCAACCTCTGAATACATTTTTGATTGCAAGGACTGGGCAGGTGCTACTGGTATATTGTGGATAGAAGCCATGGACGGAGCTGTAAGATTTTTAGCCCCATCCATCTACCCACCAAAATGCCAACAGTGCCAAAGTGGAAAAACACTGCCTTAGCAGTAGGCTAGGAAACCACTGAATCTATGCTGTGAGATAGTCACCTTTAGTAGAAATCTGTTGGGAACTGCCCTGCCTGGTTTCAGAAGCTGTAATCCCTCATGGCAAAGGCTAAGTAAAACGACCTTGGGACTATAAACCACTAAAGAGACAAAGCTTATCTTCCTTGTAGAGGTGCCGCCTCTGCCCGCTTTTACTTCACCCTGCTTGGCCCCAGGTGGATGACTAGTTAGCCAATGACAGGTAAGACTCCTCAAGGGAGGGATGACCTAAGACAGGCATGGTTGTGAAGGGGCCCTAAGGGAAGGACTTGGGGTGGGGGGGGGGGGCTATAGAAAAAGGGGATGATGGACACTCACCCTTCAGCTTTGACATAGCCTGAGTCCTCATTTTGTCTGCAAGAAGTCTCCTAATCTCTTGGTTGCCTTACTTCCCCTGCCTGACTTAAGCGTGAAACAATGCTGGAGGTGGGTGTGGCCCTGTGCTGGAAAGGGAGGGTTCCCTGGGGGATCAGGCATAAGAAAGAATGCATAAAATCCTATGAAACCTACTTTGCTAATACCCTCAATTTAAATAATAAGGGTCCAAGCATGAAATGAGTTTCTTCCCCAAAATTTTACAGCCCTTCAGCTATCTGACCCCGACTTTAAATAATCCCTCCTAGTTCTCTGAATGTTATCTATTGTTTGATCCTTACTGCCTGGCAATGATTGATGAGCTTTACAGATAGGCCCTGTATTCCTATGGAAGTTGAACCCAATAAAAGCCCCATTGAGGAACAGGCTCCTGGCCCTTCTCCTTTGAGAGATCGGCCACCTTTCCTCCCCAAGCAGATCATGTCTTGATAGACTTATTCTCACCCATGGAGGTCAGGGGGGGCCCTGTGGGCGGAGCCCCCCACACACAGAAATCCTAAATCAATAGAGTTTGCTTGTTTAGAAATATTGACACCACATTAAATAGCACTTATTAAAGTGACATGGTTTTTAAAAAGTGTTATTTGAAAGAAAATGAACTGGATTTCCAATTTATCTAAACCTGTGAAATTTTGCAAAAGCCATAGGCAAAAAAAAAAAAAGATAAATTAATGCTAATAAAAGTTTCATACACACACATACCCTATGACTCTCACAAACAATACTGAGCAAAAGAAACCAGTCACAGTCATATGTTTTGCATGATTCCATTTGTACACAGTTCAAGAGCAGGTAAAAATTGATCTCTTGTGTTTGAAACCAAAAGTGATTCCTTCAGAGAAAAAGGAGAGGAGGAATAGGAGACAACATAGAGGGATTTCTGGGATGTATTTCTTAATCTAGGTAGTAATTATATAATTGCATTCACTTTGTGACAATTCATCAGGCTGTGTACCAATAATCAGTGCAGTTTACTATATAAAGATAACTAACTAAAATATTTTTTAATGTTTTATGTATATATATCCTAAAAAGTTGAGCATTTAGACCAGAAAGCTAAATTAGCATCAAGTGCAAAGTGAAAGTGTTTTGTTACACTATAGGCTGCCTTCCAAGAATTCAAGGATGACACCCCCAGAAAGCTATAAATACCAAACTCAGCACTCGGGCAGCATTCACTGTGGACTTAACTCATTATAGATCGCTCATCCCAAATCCCAAAATGTGACAAACACTTTGAAGTGCAGTTGAATTTATTCCATGGACAGTATGTTTGGATTATTTCCTCCAATGCTCAGCTGTTAACTGTCATCGGAGAACAGGCTCTAAGAAACAAATGATGCTTTCTTTCCTAGTCCCACATTTCCCCAACGCTCACCCAAACAAACCCCCTCCAGGCCCTCAACTCCTAAGGATTTCTCCAGGCTGCTTATAATAGTACCCACCATTGACTCTCCCAGTGTCCACTCTCACAATCCACCTCCCCCATACACACACAAAATAATAATTCACATTCATGCTCATTCCAGAGATCAGGCTCCCCTCTCCCCAGGACTTTTACTCTTTACCAGCACCTCACCAATACAAGCCAAACCCCACTCCCACAACCTCCTAATATTCTCCACAAATTCGCTTCCCACAGCACCACAAAACCAGAGCACACACTATCCCAGTCTTTTAAATCCTCTTCCCAGACTCACACACAAACACCTTGCTTCTGCAAATAATTGAGCTCATTGGCCACCACTGTAACTATTACCCCTCTTCCCTTTAGCAACACCCCACACACACTTTACTGCATTAAATCCACCCCACTGCCCACCTACCCTCTGCCCAGAACGTCTGCTTTCCTCTTTATGAAACTTTCCCTTCTCCCGGGTACTCTGTCAAATCCAAAGCTGGAGAAAGGGTATGAAGGAACATGCTCTGTCCTGTGTGAAGGTAGCTGCTCAAATCTCAAGTATACAGACAGGTGCATGGGCTACAGAGTCAGACGCTGGACTCTGAAACCCAGCACCATCACTTAATAACTGCAAGGCTTTGAATTAGTTATTTTGCATCTTTAAGCCTCAGTTTCCCGAAGTACAAGATGGGGTTGATAAAAATAGCTATTTCATAAGAGTTGTGAGGAATGGACAGGATGAAAGGTTCTTTCTTTAAGTCTCTTTAGTGCTAATATTCCTGCAAAGTCTCCTCTTGAGGGATAGAAGTAGAGCAAGGGAAAGAAGGGAAGAAGTACTCTACGGATACGTGTGTGATACCGAGGATTTTTTCACATCCCCAAACTCAGTGCTCTTTATTATGCCCCCTTCAACGTGGGTCCAAGAAGCCATCAGGCTCTCGCAAAAGGATGGGGACATGGATATACATATACATCAAATACTCCTTCCGCATATACTCATTTGAAGAAATGCGGTAGGAAAGAGCCCCTTAAATTACCAAAATGTGTTCCTTGAGGGTCAGAGAATAGGAAGGAAAACCCAAAGTCCCATAGAATTTCTCTTGAGAAGCTGAAAGGCGCAGTTCATAACTAGGAGAGATCAAAAGTAAAAGCTAGAAATCTTAAAGACTCCTCGCTTCTCCAGTAGGAAAAGTAGCAAATGGATTCTCAGCAAATGGGCTGCGAAGGAAAAAGCACTGTCCCTGCCTCTCGCAGGGCATCTGAGCTTCCCCCAGTCTCTACGGAAGAGGGATAAGGGGGAGGGTCTCCGAAAGGGAATCCCCAGCTGCCTAACGGTGGGGAGAGGCAGCATCAGGCCGGGCCCCCAGGGAGTTTCACTGGGTCTCTTCACAGTCCAACTCCAGAAATGGGATTTCTCTTAGGACTACGGGATCTCCCAGAGGTTCGGCCATCACTGGATCCTTTCCCTTACAAGACCTGCAGACCGCCCTCGTCAGTCCTCCGAGTTCTCCCGGCCACTTCTCGGGGTCTCCCGCTGGCACGGGGGCAGCTCGCCGCCCACGGGATTCCCTCACGGGCTTCCTCCCGGCCCCTCCCGAGCGCCGCGAGCCCGTGGGGTTACCTGCTGAGACGGCAGCTCCACATGCAGGGCCCGCGCTGCAGAACCTGGAGGCAGCGCGGCGGCCGGGCCTGGGGGCGGCGGGGGAACCGGGCCCCCGATCGACACCAAGGCGCTCATCTTGACCCAGGGGCCGCCAAGCGGCAAGGCCAGTGCTCCTCCGGCATCCGCAACTATTGCTCAGCCACAACCTGCAAAACCCCTGCAGCCCAAGCACCCGCCACCTGAGGGGCAGAACTGCTCTACCCCACCTCCGGGCGCCGCCGCCGCCGCCGCCGCCGCCGCCGCCGCGGGCTAAGGAAGAGCCATATTACCGCAGTGCAACCCCCCCCCCGCCACCCGCCGAGACCTGGCTTGCTCATTGGTTCAGCTCCCACAGGGGCGGGACCCAACCACAGAGAGGAGATGCGCTATTCGGCAGAAGGTCTGTCTGTCTCTGGCCGAATGGAATGGGGGCGGAGGGACCCGAGGATGGCCTAAATTGCGTCTGTCAAACAGGGGTAAACCTGGGGCGTTGCTTTCTTTTTCCAAATCTAATTGGTTTTTTCACTGCCATAGGGCGGGGTCTCCTGGGGAGCCGCAAAGGCCATTGCTCTAGGTCGCTGTCAGTTGTCAGGAAAGGGAAACAAGGGCGGGGTCTGATTAGGTAGGGAGTGCGCCCAAGCTTCGCTGTCACGTGCAGGGAGGCGAGCGAGTCACCTGATTCGTGAGAGACAGTCCTCGGAGCTGCTTCCGCCCTAACCTAGTTCCCATAGTAACCGGCGGAGAGGGCTGGGACCCTCGGTGCCAGCTGGATCACGCTGACCAGTCTGCAGTTAGTCGCAGGCTCGCTAAACACTGTTTTCCTGAAATGCTGCGGTCAGCGTGCGGGGATGGAAAGGAAATACTTCGTGGTTTGGCTGAAAGGCACTAAGCAGGATGCAGTAAGACTCAAAACTTGTCAGGCAGTCCCACCAGCTCTATCATGACCAATTCTAACCCACAGGTCCATCCCCTCCCACGCCATTCACTACTTGCTGACCTACGGGGTGTGCTACGCACCCAGGGCTCTGTTTCTTCTCTACCAGGGGGTTGCTTATGCTGTCCCTAGAAAGTCTTTGCGACTTTTCTGCTAATGCTTACCCATCAAATCTCATCTGGTGCTGGGATCCCTTCTTCCAAAAGGCTTCTCTGATTCATTCTGGCATCCTGATTAGGAACCTTGCCTCTAGCATATTCCTCATTCTATTGCATTGTCTCTTAACGTGTGCAATACCCACGTGTAGACCCACACACACACATATACTGAATTCCTCAAGAAGGACCTTGTGGTTCACCTCTGGATTCCCAGTGGCCGACGGATAATCTAGATGTTTTCGTTTTTGAAGTGAAGGCCACCTCAAATGCCACCTCTTCCATGAAGACTTCCTTGATCACAGTGATAGCGTCTATAGCAATTGTGTCTATAATAAACAGCATTGAGTCGTTCTACAGGACATTGATCTGCCTTTACCCCTCCACCCCCAGCCACTCCTCCATTGTGAGTATGGACTCATTTGGGCAGAGTGGGAGGGGAGCATCATTTAACCCACTGCACAAGTTTATAAAGTGGGCCTGTAGAGACAAGACCCAGAATCACTTCTTTTTGGAGTCAGCTCTGAATATTAGTTAACTTTATTATTTCCTTCGTTCAACAAATGCTCATTGAGGGCTTTCCTGTGTCAAGCCCTTTCCTAGGTGCTGGGAAATTAGACTTGGACTCCTCCCCAGAGGAGCTGCCCTCATTACAGGGAAGTCCAATAGTAAACAAAGAGTGGTAATGCAGTTGCTGAGTGCTGGGTCTATGGAAAGTCCAGGGCCTATAGGAGCCAGAGAAAACAGATTTCACAGTAGAGGGAACATTTAAACTAGGTACTGAAGGACCAATGAGAATTCACCAGGCAGGTAGGGAGAGAAGAATGTTCCAGCAGGGGGAACAGGATCCATTCTTCCACAAACCTTTACTGAGGTACAACTCTGCAGCAGATTGATTATTGGGCACTGGAAATACAGGCCTCACATAAACAACCTTTTTTAAACTTCTCCACTCACGTACCACAAGCACTAGAAGAGCTGGAACTCTTACCATGAGGGACATGGCAGTGAACTGAAATAGCCAGCTGTTGGCAAAATATTCAAAGTAATGCATTTAAGTGTTTAGCACAGTGACTTGGATATAGTGTTCAGTAAAAGCTACCTATCATTTCCATATGTTCTACTTCATTCTGAAAATTCTTATATTAGTTTAGATCCTATTCCATAATAAAGCTGTATGTTTCAACAGAAAAATATTTTCATCACTTAGGATTAAATTGTTGTAATATCTATACAGTGCTATGTATCCCTTACAGAAAAATGTATCCATGTTTAAGGAGCATGGATTCTAAGGTGGCCAAATACAATATACATCCAGAAGATGTATCAGAAGAAGGATCACAGGGGAGGGGTAACAAAGTGACCCAAGCCACTGGGCCTGGTGGGCAAGGTCAAAGTAGGCTTCACAAATGTGGTGAAGGATGATGATTAGGGGTTTGATAGGTAAACAATGAGAGGTTAGATCTGTTTAGCTCAGAGATAGCTGGTGTTTCAACAGCTACCTATAGTACCATGTCGGGTACTGAAATCAAACATTCTGTTTGCACAGCCGAAAATCTAAACCTACCCCAGTCCATTTTGCTTCCTTTTCTTCCTTGTAAATAAGAGCAAGATAGGGATAATTGGTCTTTTGATGTCTCAAACTTAATTAAGTTAAAATCTGTCTCCTTTCTTTCAAGAGTCCTCTTTCCTCCACTCACTTATGGAGTCAAACATCCATCAGACCTTTACCAGGTACCTCACCTGGGCACTACGTTTACAGAAATCATGCCTATAGAATCCCTGCCTTTGAGGAGTTGGTAGGTCTTTTCAGTGCAAAGCAGTAAGTACAATCATTAAAATGATATATGAAGTATTATAGAAGCATAGGAAAGGAAATTGCTAACTGCAGAAGGCTTTCTAGAGGAGAAAGACTATTCGAGGCAGAAGGAATGCATGAGCAAAGGCACTGAGGCACAGGCCATGGCATTTGTATACTTTAACCCAGTTGAAACGAAGGTTGTGTGGGGAGCAACAGGCAAAGAGGCTGGAAGAGGAAGACGGGGCCTGGTGAGAGGAAACTTACTACCAGGCTAAAGAACTTGGGCTTAATCTTGGGCAACAAGAAGTCATTTAGAAAGATCCTGAGGCAGCCCTGGAGAGGCAGCTTTGAAAGGGGAGGACAACAAGAGCAAGACTTGCAGAAAGCTGGGTGAAAATTGTAAAACAAAGAGTCCATCCCCCAAAGAGCCTGCACATACCCCACAAACCTGAAAGGCAGGTCTCTGGGCAGCATTTCTCCTTCACCTTTCACATCCCTTCAAGGTCACTTTTTAAAAAAAGCAACCCTAGATCTGAGCTAATTGCTACCTCCTCTGGCCTCCTACAGCAGCTGCCTGACCTCTCGTTAGTACATGTATCCATGTACATGTATCCGTGTGCCTAGTTTTATATACTGTGTTGTATATTTGTCTTGCACACCCCACCACGAATTCCTGCTTTTGATTTTGTTCTGGTTCCCTGGCATCCTGACCTGGAGGACAGGCTTTAGTAGCCCCAATGAGAAATGACTGACTGATTGAATGAATACTATCAGTGAATGGATGGATGAATGCTCCAGGGAGTGAATGTCTGATGACACTGGACATAGCCCCAAAGACAGAAAATTAGCTCGCTCTAAGTCACACAAAGTTTGTAGCAAAGCTGAGGTAAAGACTTGGGCTCCGTGCCCCTAAACCAGCACATCTTCCTCAATTTCAGTGTTTTCCACACTGTCATGGACCATGAATGTGCCAATGTGAGTATACAAGCTTGTGAGTTTATGGGCCAGCTGGAAGACACACATCAAATACAAACACGTCTAAACCAGGGATCTCATTTGGTCAGAATCACCTGGAGAAAGCTGTCTGTGGGAACGTCAGGCTTTTACAGTGATGCTGAGGGGTGAGCAGGTGTTAAAGACAACAAAGACTAGTGAGAGGGCAAGAGGTGCAATTGGGGCCAATGGTGCAGCCTGAAGAAGGAGCATGGAGCCCCGAAGGAACTGAAAGAGAAGGCCGGTCAGGGGTAGGCAGAGAGAGGCAGCCAGTGCGGAGGAAGAGGAGGAGAAAAAGAAGAAAAAACAACATTTCGCCCTGGCTGGCGTAGCTCAGTGGATTGAGCGCAGGCTGCAAACCAAAGTGTCGCAGGTTCCATTCCCAGCCAGGGTACATGCTTGGGTTGCAGGCCATAACTCCCAGCAACCGCACATTGATGTTTCTCTCTCCCTCTCTCTCCCTTTCTCTCTCTCTCCCTCCCTCCCTCCCTCCCTCTCTCTCTCTCTCGAATAAATAAAAAAATTAAAAAATATCTAAAACAAAAAAAAAGAAAAAACATTTCAAAGATAAAATCAAAGACCTCCAATTTATTTTAGTATTGCTTTTATTTATAATTTTGTAGGGCAGAAGCAGCATTGTCTTTCCAATGCTTAGAGTTTCTGAAGTTTTAATCCAGCCCTGGTGGCCCAGAATGAAGTTGGAGATTCTGGCAGAAGCCAGGTCCTGCCAGGTGTTGCAGCCCCAGTTGAGTTTGACTGTGAGGTAAGGTCCTTGCCCCACTGAACAGTCTAAGCAGGGGAGTGACATGATCTGATTTATGTTTTGGAAATGCCACTTAAGCTGCTGTGTCAAGAGCAGATTCAAGGATTGGAGGGCTAGTGAAAGTAGTAACAATAAATTGGCTTTTCTTCACTGAGTTAGAGGGCCATTAGAACGAAGGAATATGGCTGAGTTCCTGGGAATGAAGGGGCTCAAAGGATGACTGATTCACTCCCTTGCTCACCCACGCTGGCAGGCGTGGTTTCACAGGGTTCCAGAGAATAAGCATCCTGGATGTAAAGCGGTGTGACCGAAAGAGCTCTAAGCCACAGGGCAGAAAACATAAGATCTTTCTGGGCCTACAGCTTATTAGCTGATGATTTTAGGCAAATTGATTTCCTTTTCTGAGTCTACAGGTTTTCGTGAGGGCTAGAGAGAACTCACTTCTACAAAGTATTTTACATATGTTACTATGGTCAATCCCCACAGGATCCTTTACAGTAGGTATTCTTGCCTCAGTTTTACAGCAGCCTAAAAAGAGGCTCCAGAAATGGAAATGAGCTACCCAAAGTCACAGGGTTCTGAGTGGCAGATTGGCCTGTGAACCCAGGTCTCTTCTCCTGGGCCAGGGCTCCATCCGCCAGACCATACTTCCTGT